TGTATTAATCCAACATTCCCTTAACAAAAACAAAATAAAAACCAGGATGATAAGAGTGACCATTTATTGAGGAGGTAATATATTTTCTAAACACCAGTCTTATCTTTTCACAGAGAGAAATTCTCCTTCTGGAAAATAGTCCTGATTCGCCCTCTATGCCGAGTCTATGTAATCCTGCTGGTTTTGAGCTTCTGCCTGTTCTTTCTTTGGCACAGTGTGGGGGACAGAGGCGTGCTGCCCAGCAGGAGGCAGGTGGCACTGCAAGCCACTGGTCTTCTCCTTGAGGAGGCGATAGTCAAGGTGAGCCACTGGCTCCCTGTAAAATGCCTCTGGGGGGTTTTGCACACACCGAGCCTGGTGAGGGGCTTCCCCTTTGTGGAGCACATCTTGATGATGAATGCTGAGATGCTGGCTCTGACCTGGTGCCAGAGGTAAAGTTTGGCTTCACCTCTTCTCAGTGACGGGAGTGACCGATGGGAACACATGCGAGGCAAGGCCATGCCCCTCTTTGCTCTATTATATATTGTCTCCATTCTCTAAACTCCTCCAAACGACAAACAGCAAGGATAGCAACAACAGCAGCGAACTCTTCTGAGCACTTAATGTGTCTGCCAGACATTGCGTTAAACACTTCAGTAAACCGTATCCTTTCAACCTCACAATAACCTCATGAGCTGTTGTTCTGTGTTTATTGCCATTTTATATACTCAGTAATCTAGATTCCAGTTAAATAACTTGTGCCGAGTTGCAAAAGTTATTTGCAACCTCCACCTACATGGTGAAGCCAGCAGTCTACGACAGCAGATGGGCCTCACAGGCTCACAGCACTGAGTTGTTCACCATGCGACACTATATCCTAAACCTGTATTCTTGTGCACACTTTTCTTTTTCAGAGGGGCTCTGACCATAAATAAATACATAGGTAAATAATTTTTTTCCATTTCATCCTCTGGAAATTGATTTGAATATACAGACATATAGATTGTATTTGTGAAAGGGTCCTCTGCCTGTGTTCATGGATATGTTGAGGATACGGCACAAGCTTTGGAGATGCAATCCCCTGAAAGCATCCAACTGAAGGGAGAGTCTGAGCTCTGGTAGTAACACAGATGGGTAGCGCTTCTCAATTCATTTTCTGAAATTGTTTATCAAAATTTAGCACACCTCCGTTTCCTACTGGCCCCAGACCTCTTTGACCTGGTCCCTATGTGTTACTGAAGAATTCTTAAGGAGAAGCCTAGGCTTGGGGAAACATGGAAATGAGAAGGAGCACACAGAGAGCCCAGCCTTGTGGCTGTCACTCAGACCCAAGCCCTTTGCAAATGGACATGGCTGAGCTTGGGCTGATCAGCCCTGGAAATGATATGACAACTAAGGTCTGTGACAGGCCACATGCACACAGAACCCCTCAACCCCATGACACAGTCCCAGAGTGGTCTCCCAAAACACCCGGGCATCCACTATAGCTACAAGAATGTGGCCAGGCTCAGTGGCTCACGCCCGTAATCCCAACACTTTGGGAGGCCAAGGCTGGTGGATCCCTTGAAGTCAGGAGTTCGAGACCAGAGTGGTCAACATGGTGAAACCCCATCTCTAAAAAAAAAAAAATAATACAAAATTAGCTGGGTGTGGTGGTGCATGCCTGTAATCACAGCTACTTGGGAGGCTGAGGCAGGAGAATCACTTGAACCTAGGAGGCAGAGATTGCAGTGAGCCGAGATCCTGCCACTGCACTCCAGCCTGGATAACAGAGAAAGACTCCATATTTAAAACAAAAAAGAATGTATGGAATGAGTCCTATAAAAAATTTATTACTATGAAAGTTCGGAACTTTTGTTATTTCACTGAGAATGACTTTCTATTTAATAAAGTCTTTTAAAGTAAACTCAAGTATGTTTGGTCTCTGAGATCGGCCATGGAATTCTGAAAAGGCAGGCTTTCTACAGATAGCTGATTACAGGGTTCTTTTATTTCTGGAGACTAAGGTGGGGTGAGCGTTGGAAAGCACAGGTCACAGAGTTGTCGCCTATTGTTTGGGATACTTGGTCTCCCATTGACCAGGTCTTTTCTTATGGGTGAAATGCAGAAGTGGAACTCTTATGTCCCTTCCCAGTGAGCGTCCCTCACCATTAGAAAGATGAAAGAAAGTCAAAGTCAATACCTTTTGCTTCTGTTCAAAGTCCCTTTCTTTCTTTTTCTGCCTATCCATTTTTCCTCCATAGCCTCTTGCACCAAAGCTGCCCAGTGTTACTTACGAGTCAATTACCGAGAGAAAAACACACAAAGCCATTACGAGGAAGCAAAAAGTGTAAAAGGCTTGACAAACCCTAAGAACACTGACACGCAGCTAGGCCACGAGAAAGTAAGGAAGGATTTCTATTTGAAAGGATAAAGTTTTGTGTGTGGAGGAAGCTCAGATGGGGATAGTTTTCAAGAAAGGATGACTGGGGCTAGTTTGAAATCAGAGGATTTTTTTATAAATAAAATGTTTCAGTTTATTATCTACATATTAATGTGTTTAAGCATGTTCCTTAAAGAGTGGGAAATGGAGAAAATAAATCAATGATATTTGCTCTCTGCCCAAGGCCACCCTTAATACTCTGAGATGAAGCTACCAAGGCTGGGGAGGAGGGAGTCATGCTTAGGTGAGCCCCGCATTAAATTCAGTCAGTAGATTTTTCATTTCCACCTGGAGCAAAGCAAGGCAAAGTGAGAGCTAAGGTTTTCAAAGAGTAATTTGGATTAGTCACTGTACGAAGCCAAAGGAAAGAAGCAGTATTCATCACCAATCTCGAATATAAAATCTGCCCCAACTGGCCTCCTTTCCTCCTCTCACCCTCCGTACCCCGGGTCAATTCTCAACCCAGCAGCCAGAGAGATCCTTCCACCTGCCATGGGCCATGCAACTCCTCTGCTTGTCAACTTCTTTTGCTTTCCTGCCTCTCAAAGTGAAAGTCAACAATGGCCCTAAAGCCCTACAACGCCATGGCTCCTCCTGTCCCCCTCCCCCGGCCCCTGCCCATCTCTTGTTGCTTTCCCCACCCTCTCTGGGCTCCAGCCACATGGGCCTCCAGGCTCTTCCCGGAGAGGTCCCACTCAGGGGCTCTGCACTTCCCCCCATCTGCAGAGCTCTTCCCGTAAGCCTTTGACTCCTTCACCTTTCCAGGTCTTTGCTCCAATGTCCCCTTCTCATGAAGAAGGAACATGAATCTCCACAAATTGAGGGTTCATGTCGATCTACTCATTTACTGATTCAACAAATAGGTATTAAATGCCTTCTATGTCTCCAGACTGTTCTACACCCTGGAACTATGAAAGTGAACACAAGAGGCCAAAAACAAGAGAGCGCTCAATGAGGCCACCTTTGACCATTCAACTTAATATTGCAACACTTTCCAGCCCGCCTGGGGTTTCTGCATGCACTTTGCACCATCTGACACAGCCTATACTCTACTTATCTATCTTCTACCTTCTCCTGCTAAGATGCAAACTCTGAGAGGGCAGCAATTTTTTCTTGGCCCTGTCTTGTTCACTTTTATAGTTGCAGAGCATAGAAGAGTCTACACAGGTAGGAAGCATTCAATACCTATTTGTTGAATCAGTGAACAAATGAAAGAACATGAGCCCTTTGCTCCTGAGGATTCAGAGAGTAGCACCAAAGGGAACCACCGCTTAGCTCTGCCTGGGGTGGTTGTGCACAGATCATCCCCAGGAAGAAATAAGCATCAGGAAAAGAAAGGCATGCCTCTCTCTTCCTAAGAAAAGAAGGTCGTTGTGCTTAGAGACTGGGGGATTATTTGTCCTGAAATTAATATCGTAAGTGCCCATTCATTCACTCTTGCAAATGGGAGCTGTCCAACAAGTATGTAGGCCTGATTCTAGAAAGGAGAGACCTTATTCTCAGCATCTTTTACAAATAATTGATATTATAAAATCCTGCCTAAACATGAAGAGAATAGACAAGATGTTTAGCTTCGAAACAAACTCTTTGATATTTTTCTCATGAATTTGATCTATTAATTAAATCTCACTTATATCTCTGGTTATATGATTTGAGCTCACAAGCTGGCTGGCAGAGAGGCAGAGAAGAGAGCATTGACCATTGGATGAGGTATTTCCAGGTGGGGATTTACCAGGCAGCAGCTGGAATCAAGACCAGCCCCTCATGGAGCTTGTTAAGCTGTAGAGATGTCTCTTTGGGAAGAAGGTACAAGAAAGAGAGGTGTGGGCACCAAGGGGTGGGAGTGTGAGAAAATTAGGAGAATTAATAGATTTATCTCCTGTGGTTTCTTCTAGATGCAATTATGTGAAACTGGAAGCACAAAAAACTAAGCTTTTATTTTAGCAAACCCAGACTACTATTTGTCCCATGCCATTTGCTTAACACTGAGAGTTAAAAAAAAAAATTCTTCCTAGACATAATTTCATTATGGCAGTTGACACACAGGCACAGCCACCACCCACCAGCCTTCTTGGACACTGATATGTTTCGCTGAGAGGAAATTTCTGGCCTGTGTGACTTGATTCTGAAATTACCATAATCTCCACTCTCCAGAGGCCATGGCTAGTGAAGTGGATTAGTGCCCAAGCCTTTGGGGTCTCTGGAGAAGAAAGTTCAAATCCAGAGCTTAGGTCATAAGTAAAGATGAAGGGGTTGCTCTAACGGTTTATCCCCCTTTGGGAGCAGTGAAAGGCACAGCTAGTTATGATTATTAATCTTGTTCAAAAGCAGCACAGCCAGAAATGTGGTGAGTTGATCCTCATCCAGAGAAACTGGCACGGCCCACAGGCTCCTGACTCTCTGAATTCAGTCTGGGCTTTTTCAAACACAACGTGAATTTTTTCAAAAGAAATCACAGTGTGACTGTTTGTTCACTGATGGAAAACAAAAAGCATGTTATTTTGCAGAAATGCCCATTAATGGAGATAAAGCGGTCTGTGATTACGAGCACATTATGAAAAGAGGGAGAGCTCCGTTCACTCGCCTTCTCTCTTGACAGGTGTATTTCTACTGGATTTGCCGGGACGCAAGAGCTTTTGAGTGGTTTGCTGATCTCTTACTCTCGCTGGAAACAAGGATGAGTGAGCAGGGGAAAACTCACTTTCTGAGTTATCATATATTTCTTACTGGCTGGGATGAAAATCAGGTACTGATAAGACTCTGAGAATAAGCAACACTGCTTAACTCATCTAATAGCAAAGAGGCACAATTTCAATAATGAGCTATATAGCACTCTGATAGCACGACAGAATTATTTTTGTGTTCTTAAAAGAAAAGGAGAATAACAGAAAACCAGATTAGCAAGAGCGATTCAAGTTGTAACAATCAAAGAACCAAAAAAAAAAAAAAAAAAAAGCTATAGTTAACTTGCTGAGGAATAGGAAGGGTCAGACAATGGAAGACAATCCAGAAGTTGGCAATCCCAAATACATTTGCATGTGTCCTTTTAAAAGTGACATCAAGTGAACATGACTGATTGGCTGTATCATCTCGTTGAGTTCCTAACTGGTTCTAATTCTGTGCCTTGAGCTGTTCAGAGTTAAGCAAAAATGATTCCTAGTTGCTTACATTCGACATTTGGTATTGTAAAGTATGTGAGCATCTACAGAAAATAACTCTTATGAATACATGATTTGTCCAGAGGTTTTTCTCTCAAGGTGTTCTTAGAAACTGTGTACATGTATGTTTATCTATCTAAGATCAAGATGATCTTTTGTTTTGGCAGGTGTTCTGTGGTATACTGTACTAATGAAATATTGAGATCGAATTTACCAAAAACAATGTACACCAAAATATTGACTATGACAGTATTTCAGTGTTGATACTACTGAATGATAACTACTACATTGTAAACCATTTTAACTCCTCAGATATGGGAATTAACAACAAAGTGATTATTAGGTTATACAATATGTATTCTAATCAGCAACTATTATTGATATATACTTTTAAGGAAAGTATATTTGAGCCTGAGAGATTGCATTAATCACTACATGTACAAATGAATGGTCTGTGTGTGTACATCACATACACACACACACACACACATACACACTGGCCCTAAAGAACATCACTATAATTTGACTCTGTGCTTCTGCAAATGAATAGGACTCTGCTAGAAATTCAGTAGCTTAATGAATTTTTATGGTCTTATTTGCAGTTCTTCTTAAATATTTAATCCTTTGGGATAATTTGAAATGTAGTTTTCTTGGGAACTAGGCTTGAAACATCTTAATGAATTATATAGTGTTAATTATGTTTTCCAAACAAACACTTTCCTTATTCAAGTGGGACTTTTTGAGTGATGAACCGTTTGGTGAAGTGGAGACAGCTTTTGTCTTCTGCATTTGAGTACTGTGTTTGCTTATTTCCTTCTGAGGTGCACTGATCCCAGAGTACACCTGGGTATTCCCTGCCACCCGGGGGTTATGGGAGGAGGTTCTCATAACCGAGAACTGAAGTTGATTTGGTGACAACATAATCCCGCCCCCTCCCATCTCTACATTTCCAAGAATATGCTATAAAATATACATTTTTTTCTGAACACAAGTAAATTAAAATAGATGTCTTACATTTTTGCCATCACATGTTGAAAATTATTTTGACTCCTAAATTTCAGGCAGAAAAAAAAATCACTAATTTCAACATTTAAAGGAAAACTAATTGGCGCATTCTGTCGGGAAAGAATCAAGAGGCTGTTTTAGAAATAGCCAATTGTTAAACCAAATTCAACAACCTCTAAGTGGCAAAATGACAAGAACAGAAGGGACAGATGGAAGAGGTATTATGAAGGGCAAATCAACAGAGTTTGGAGATTGATTGAACCTTGGGCTGAGAAATATGGAACAAATATCATTCCAAATGTTTGAACATCAGTGATTGGCAGTGCCACCAGTGCAAGTAAGGAAGCCCCTTTTTGGTGTGAAATGGTGCCCAAACTTCTCAGCAAGGACTTGAAGGCCCTTCCCAGCCTGACTCCCACTCGCTGATTGTGTCCCACCCCCATCAGTTTCCTCTGGCACCAGAGTCACTAAATAATGCATGTTCACCCATCACACTGTGCACGGCCCCACACCCATGGCTTTGCTTGTTCCCTCCCTCCACCTGACGCGGCCCTTAACACCCTCTGCGACTTTTCCCACCTTCCTTTTGCTCAGAGTCCCATACCCACAACACTTTTCCAGCAGCAACCTTGCCACCTGGGGTCAGACTTGCCTGCTCACAACTTCCTACGACCTGGATTTCTTTTTATTGCTTCTTTAAGTGTTAGATTCAGAGGGTGCGTGTGCTCGTTTGTTACATGGGTATTGTGCAGACTGGTGGGGTTTGGGCTTCTAGGGCACCCATTATCCAAATAGTGGACATGGTACCCAGTAGGTTCTTTGTCAACCCTCACTCCCTTCTCACCTTCCCCCTTCTGGAGCCCCCAGTGCCTGTTATTTCCATCTTTATGTCTATGTGTGCCCATTGTTTAGCTGCTACTTATAAGTGAGAACATACAGTTTTTGGGTTTTTGTTTCTGAGTTAGTTCACTTAGGATAATGGCCTCCAGCTCCATCCATGTTGCTGCAAAGAACATGATTTCATTCTTTTTATGGCTGCATAGTATTCTGTAGTAAGTATACAACACATTTTTTTTTTTGAGACAGAGTCTCACTTTATTGCCCAGGCTGGAGTGCAGTGGTGCGATAGCTCACTGCAACCTCCGCCTCCTGGGTTCAAGCAATTCTCCTGTCTCAGCCTCTCAAGTAGCTGGGACTACAGGCACCTGCCACCACACCCAACTAATTTTTGTATTTTTAGTAGAGATGGGGTTTCACCTTGTTGGTCGGGTTGGTCTCAAACTCCTGACCTCAGGTGATCTGCCTGCCTTGGCCTCCCAAAGTGCTGGATTACAGGAATGAGCCACCAGGCCCAACCAACACATTTTCTTTGTTTGGTCAACCGTTGATGGACACTTAGATTCGTTCCACAATGTTACTATTGTGAATAGTGCTGTGATGAATATATGAGTTCAGGTGTCTTTTTATATAATTGGCCTGGATTTCTGAAATCCAACCTGCCATTGTCTCCTGGCCTATTGGACACTTCCATTATTTTCAGCTAAACCTTCCTAGATTCAACTACTTTTTTTAGATGGGAGAGGTCAGCCCGGAAAGTCAGGCTTCCAGTGGGAACCTGGGGTGTGAGTTGCACCCAGTAGGGTTGTTACCCAAACTGGTCAGTGTCAGGATGAGTCAGAGCAGGAGAACAAATTGAGAAGCAAAGAGATGTCTAAGGGGTGAGCACTGGGAACACAGATCCCAGGAGGGAAGCAGCAAGGTAGCTATAAGAACGCAGCAGGGGCTAAAACAAATGACAGCAACTTAAAACATGATCACGAGGGATTATGCTTCAGGCCCTTATTTATTGACCACTAGCTACAGGATGCCTGGACGGAGTCGCTTAATTCCAAGGTGAATGGTTAGGCGTGGAGCTCCAGCCAAGCCACCTGCTAGGATCTGGACACCATGTCCCGCCTGCTGGACTCAACATCCTCCCAGCACTTGAAACTGGACAGTATACATCACACTGTTTCATCCCACTAGACTGAGCTGATTGTAAGATGCAGCTTCTTCCCAGACATTTCATAGCACTTTAATCTGGCAATGCCCTTCTCAACTCCCCAGGAGCCAATATTAAGTGAAAGGGGATAGCAGGTAGAGATTAATTTTTGAAAAGTTTGGTAGGAAAGGAAGGAAGTCATTTAGTGCTTGCTTTTAACCACATTTACAATAAGGCTTTCATCCTTTTAAAGAAAAATATTATTTCTAGGCTAATGTTGTTGCACACCTACTATGTATAAAGAGTCACTTTGTTCCAATAAGGCCTGATTCAGACGTCAATGAGACAGGATGCTTGCCCAAAAGTGCAACATCGGTGACATCTGCGAATAGTGATAAGCATTGCCAGCCCCATACACATTTTTTGAAATTAAATCTACAAATGAACATGATTACTTTATTCTTTATTTATAGAAGGCTTATATGTATATATTTTCTAAATGCCATCTAATGCCACAAATTTACTTTAGGCCGTTCACATAGCTTTACATTGGGATGAAAATACTGACGTGATTACAGGCTTAAAGCAGAAGACCTTCTACGGGAGACCCAACTGGAACAACGAGTTCAGGCAGATCGCCTACAATCACCCCAGGTAAGGCAAGCTCTCGTTCCTCTGCCTGCTGGGCTCCTCTCTGGAGACGTGCAAGGGCTGCTGGAGTGAGAAATGAATCTGCAATACTGTGCATCTCCATTAGAGACAAAACAGCTACCTTAGAAAAGGTGGTCGATGGTGTATTTCAGGGGCCACAGACCTCAGCTGAACTGGCTTACAACCTCTGATGCTTATTGATTATGTTACACATTTTCACAGTTAACCTCAATTTAAAGAAGCTATTTTTTCAATGACATATGCTTTTGAGAAATCTGTGGTGGGTACAGGTGATCTCTAATGACCCAACTGGAGAATTCACTCCTGTCCAACTACATTATCCAGCATGTCTAGCAACAGCAGAGAGAAAATGTTAGAAGACAAAGAAGGGATTTTGGGTGTGGTTAAGGACCCAACGTGTGGCTGTAAATCCTGGCTCTGCCTTTGCTACTGCTTGACCTTGGACAGGTTATCTCTCCTGGTAATGACTCCGTCTCCTCCTCTGCAAACTGCAGATAAGAATAGTGCTTTCCTCCTAAGAGTCTACAAGGATAAAATTAATGTAAGAGGCCTAAAACAGTGCTTTGTATGGAGTACATAGGAAGCACTAGCTGCTATCACTGCTGTTATTATGTTTATTACCGTTTTCATTATTATTATTATCGATATATAATAAATTTCAATATGGAGAAGCAAGAGTACTTGTTCTGGGGTCACAAGACTGAAGCGAAGCCTGCACTTCCTGGTTCTAGAAGTTACTGGCTGTGTGATCTTGGATGAGCTTCTGCACGCATTGTAAAACGTGGACGATAATATCCATTCGAAGCGCTGTTTTCATAATGTAAATAGACTTGTAGTATGGAGCAAACGGTTATCATTGTTATCACGTCTCCTAAGTCAGTTTCTGCTTTGAAGTTTCATTGTCTATGGCTCTTAAAAGTCAGCATGTCCTAATACTGTCTTCATTAGAGAACAGTTTCCATATTTGAAGAAAGATCTGAAGGCAGTGAAGGAGCATGCCATGTGGGCAACTGGAGCATGTGCCAAGACCCTGAGGCAGGAGACATTGTTCCTGGCATGATCCTGGAACAGAGGAGGTGAGAGAGAGAGCAGCAGGAGACAGCCTTTTGGAGAGGAAACAAAGACCGTTGCGATTCGTAAAACTTTGGATGTCATTCACAGAGGAGGAGGCATTTACAGGTTTGAGCAGTAGAATGACGTGGGATCACTCTGGCCACTGAGAGAGAATGGAGCGTGAGGGGCCTGGGACAGAGGTGGAGAGGTCAGAGAGGATCAGCAGTGGTGGCGGTTTGGATTAGGGGCAGCGGAGGAAGTGATAAGAAGTGGTTAGATTCTGGAGTTTTTCACAGGTCTTGCTGACTTGACTTTGGATGAGATGTGAGGTGTGACCCAGGCTATTTAATAAAATGGAGTCCCCCCTTACCATGTGGCAATGACTTTAAGAAAAGCAGCTGGTTGGCAGACATGGGGTGTCAGGAGGTCAGTTTTTTGACGTTTGGCTTATGATGCCTGTCACGTATCCACGTGGAGTTAGGGAGTGAGCAGATGAATGTAAAAAGCGAACGTTCAGGGAAGAAGTTCAGCCAGAGGTGTGAGCACGTGGACTGTCTGGAGCCATGAAACTGCATGAGATGACCAAACAGGCAGATACAGATGGACAGGATTTCCAAGAACTGCACTGTTGGAGGGTAGGGAAATAGACTCTATTGGCAGGTCACAGAGTTTCATACGTGACACTCATGTCTGCCTTAATAATCAAGCCCTTTAGGTCTTCTACACCCTGACCTTCTTTCCATCCACTTTCTTGGTATTGCAGCAGTAAAAGCACATTAAAGCCCACCAGGGTACGTCTGACTACTTCCGCATCCCCAGCAATTTTCTCACTGTCTCACGTGTCTTCAAAGCCTCTGTCCTTGCATTTCTGCCTTGTGGGCTTCCTGCAGAGACAGCATGCTTCATTAAACTCTGTGTACTTCCCTCACATTTGTGCTGCTTCACAGAGAACTTCTCTGGTGAATCTTACTTATTTTTTGGTCATTTTGGCTGCTCCTTTTTTACATTTTTTTCACACTCCCTCTGTACCAGAAAGATGCTATTTTCTTTTCTATCAGCTGCCATGGAATTTGTTAGATCTCCCTGGACCAGCTATTTGAAGGTTAGATGAGGAGGGAGATGTGGAAGAAGCGATCAGGCAGCTGTCCAAGATTCATGACCATCCGATTCCAGTTGCCTCCTTCCCTGTGAAGTCACTCAGAACTCAATTGCCCTGCGCTCTGTGAGGCCCCTGCCAGCCCTCTCTGCACTCTGCGCCCAGCAACTGCAGAGAAGCAGGAGTATTTAGACCCAGGAAAGAGGCAGTTTGAAAGCGTGCTTGTGGGGATTACTCCTGACTCACACTCAGCACAAGAGTAAAGGCTTTTCGGCAAGAGACCCCAAGAAAAGCGTCACTCTGAGCACTGGATTGGGGAGCAAGGGTGTAGACCAGCTGCACAACCTCACAGTCCTGCTCTTGCCCCACGGGGCTCATTCTGATGCCCCATAAGCTGGTGCAATGTCCTTGGAGACTTTTCCAGTGTCACTTCTTGACACCTCCTTCCTCCATTTTGCCTGTTGCCCTGACTCCTGCTGACACATGGCCTAGAATCCAGTTCTGGCTCTACTTACTCTCCAAACGCAGTGCTTCCAATCCTTCCTGGCTTTTTAGCCACAGAACCGGGTTCCTCTGAGCTCCACACCCAGCCCGGGCTCCCAGGCCCCAGCACTTCTGAGCCTCAGTCACCACCCTCAACTCACACCCACCCAGAAGAGATCACTTCATCTGCCATTTCCTTAAAAAGGTTATAGGTAGAAAGTAACAAAATATTACAAACTCATATGAGACAGCTTGGGGGTTTCTTGTTACTATTTTCTCCTTTTGGGAAAAAGAACATATATTCATTGATAAATGTTTTGCATTCCATTTTCAGTCATCATGGAGTAAATGTTCTCACTTCGCATGGACACCTATATTTTGGGTTTTAGTTCTTCTAGATTGTCTTTATTAGGATTGTCCCTTTTTGACATCTCACATGATGTTTGTACTATTTTTTTTTTTCACACACCAAGCTTCAGCCCAGTGGGGAAGGCCCTTAAAACCAAACTATTTAATTATTTCCCTTCCCTCAGAAAGGCATGAGCCAGGAACACGGAGCGTCAAGAGACCAGGGATAAAACTGGGCTTGCACAAACTCTGCCCAGAAAATTACGTTACTCGGTGCTGAGAAGTGGGCCTGCCCAATTTTCTGCAGGGAGAAAATAATCAGTTTTAAGGTAGAAAAACTATATTACCATGACTTTCCCTGCTACTCGTACCTTTCTAGAAGTCATAATCAAAAGTAAAGTGCAGAAAGGTACTTAATCCTCAATTGTATTTTGCAACCCAATAGCTATGCAAACTCTCTCTCCTTGATGGATGACTTAATCTCATCCAGAGTAGCCGAGGCCCCCAAGGTTTGGACATCACGGAATCAAACCTCTACAGCGTACTTCCTACTCCCAAATTTTTTGATATCATATTTGTAATAGCCTTAGACTCTAGAACATGGTAACATTACATAGCTTCAAGCATCAATGTCACGAATATTAGACACATGAAGGCAAAGCCCATCTTCTTATCCCTGGAATGCCAAATCCCTGGGAAAAGACAAGCTTCAGTAAAAAGCTTAGCACCACACTTTCAAAAGACTTTTAAAACGACCTCCTTAAAATAATTTTGTTTTCTGCTGTGTAAAAGGAGATTTATGTTTAATGAAGCTTTTAATGAAGAAATCTCAGAAAGAGAATGCCAATAAAATCTAATTTTTAAACAAGAAAATCTAATATTGAGAAGTATTTCAATATCCTGGCCTTTGTCCAGATATAAATGAAACACACAATCCAATTACTGTTCTGCACAAAGGACAAAGTCACATTAATTTTCCTCAAGATGGTTATTAAAGAGATAAACAGTATGTTTTCCCCTTATTATGTCAAGGATATGTTTGTTCCCAAGCCTGCTTGGCTACTCTTATAAGACGGTTCTGTCCTGTCGTTAGCTCATATCTTTTGGCAAAGATGGGTCAGAAGAAATTGGTGGATTTGTTAGTGGCCTCAGAAAAAGGTTCTTTGTTCTTGAGGGCCTTTGAAGAAGGCTCTCAACCAGTTCTATTCATCAGCGCGAAGCCGAGGATTCTCGGGACTTACTCTTTTAAAAACATTTACCTGTTCACTCAAAGCTGGAGTTTGTTCTTGTTCTAAGAAGGAGTTAAATCAAAAGAATAAAGTGAAGAAGGGCAAAAATTTTTTTTATAGAACATGAAAAACAGCACCAAAAATAAAGCTTGAAGGGAAGCAGATCAAAGAGAGTAGTACAAGCTATAAAGGAACCAGAAAATTGCAAAAATAACAGTAATAGAGAAGCAAATTGATGGGCATCAGGATGAATACAAATAAGGAAGAGAGAAGAAAAATTAAAAATAGATCAAAGACTGACAGCAGAAAACAGAAAAGTGTGTTCTATTGTTTTTATTTGTAATCAATTTTGGTAATTATATTAGCTATATTACAAAAACAAAGTATAGTTTTAAAGACAATCAATAATTAACTGGATGCATTATATTCCTTTATTCATATTCACATGCATGTGAAAATTGTATATTATTTCAATTAGACAAAGCACAGAAAAGTACTATAAAACAAAAGCATTAAAAGTTCTCTCCCAATTAAGATACAGTAGGCTAATGAAATACATATGTTGACATCTATGTCTTATTAATCTATAGAAAGGTGTCTTTTACAAAAATGGAAACTGTATTTCACTTTTTGTAAACATTGTCAATATGTTCCCAAGTTTTAGATAAATGTTCAGAAAATCAGGAAGATATTTCCAAGAAGGTAGACAGAATAAAAATAAAAATATATTTGTCACATCTAGCTGCTTTTTTGATAAACACACATCATACAGA